ACTTTGAAGTTATTAGAAAAGATAATTATCAGAAAATAGAGAGCTTATCATCTTCTTATCCTTTTTCTAGCCTTCTCTCTCTCTGTTCGTGCACGCATCTTGACATTTCAATTCAGTCCCACAGGTGAATTCTTCTCTGCCCTTTCCTTTGCTTAAGACTTACAGTGTGTTCAAAAGAAGCCACAGTCACAGAGGAAGTGCTCCCTCAGAGAATTTAACAATACTGAATAATTTGGGTGAATGCTATGTATTTTTCAAAAATATATGCAGTACACTTTCAAATGCATTTCATTTTCAAAGACAATGAAAAGAAGCATCCTATGAGATTTGCAATTGGATGGCAGGAGAAAGTGAGACATTTATTCTCTATCTCGATTATCTCATTCTAATTCTCTGTACTATGGAAGCTCATCTGGGAATGTTAGAGCATGATCTTTGGAGTTAGACTGTCATGGTTTTTATACCCTCCTGGTCTTAATCTTTACTTGTCATGTCACACTGGTAAATTAATTCAGATATTTTATTTATTACATACCTACTTACAAGATGATTGTGAGTGATGAGCCAGAAGTTCTGACTAAGGAATTCTTAAACATTAGGTGTAAATTTTAAGGTCACTGGGAAATACTAAAAAGATTATAAAGAAATACTATGAGCTCTTTGCCCACAAAATTGATAACCTAGATGAAAGTGAACCAATTTCTTTTAAAACACAATTTAACAAAACTCACATAAGAAGAAATACAATTTAAATAGGTTTATATCTACTACATAAAATTTTAATAACTTTCCAAAGCAGGACGTCTCATGCTCAGATAGTTTCGTGGTGAATTTTACTAAATATGTAAAGAGTGAGTTATACCAGTTCTCTATGATCTCTTTTTAAAACTAGAAACATAATGAATACTTCCTATTGCAGTCTATGAGGCCAGCTTTACTCTGGTATTTAAAATGAGCCAAAGATGTAATAAGAAAACAAAGAAATGGTAGACCCATATCTCTTATGTATGAAGAAGAAAAATCCTCAACAAAACATTATCAAATCAAATCTACTGATGTATAAAAATTATTTTACGCTGTGGACAAGTGAGATTTATCCTAGGTATGCAACTGTGACTTGGCATTTCTAAATCAATAATGTAACCTATCACATTAACAACCTAAAAAAATCGAGTGACTATGACAATAGTTGCAAAATATTTTTGACAAAAATCCAACACCTATTTAAAATAAAAACTCTGCAAAAAAAAAAAACTAGGAAACATCATAATAATGAGAATCTAAAAACTTTTCAATTAAGATTGGAAAAAAGATAAGGAAGTAACGCATCATCATTTCTTTCAACATCATATTATACGTTCTACTAATACAATAGGACATGGAAAAAGGAAAGGAAATAAATACATAGATTGTGAAGAAAGGTCTGAAACTGTTTTGCATTCTCAGGTAACACGCATCTATGTGGAAAATCCTAGGACTTGATAGTAAAATTTCTGTAACTTGTGTGATTATAATAAGGTGGTGAGATACAAGATGAATATACAAAAGTCAGTCACTTTTTATATATCATCAATGAATTGGTGGAATTTGACATTAAATAATGTAACACCATTAACATTAAATGAAATAATGCTTAGGTATAAATCCAACAAAATATGTATAAGACTATATGAGAAAAATTATTCCATATTCATTGATAAGAAGGTTCAGTATTGTTAAAATGTCAGTTATTCTCAACTTGGCCTATAGAATAAATGCAATTTAATGGGATTATAAAAATCCCGCTAAGTTATTTTGCGGGCATCAGCAAAGTGATTCTAAAGTTTTTACATAGAGGTGAAATGCCCAAGACAGCCATCACAATATTGAGAGAGAAGAACAGAATTGGAGAACTTATAATACTCAACTCAAAACTTATTGTAAAGCAACCATGAGCAAGACATTGTGTTATTGGCAAAGAATAGATACATGCATCATTGAAACAGAACAGAGAGCTCAGATTTGGGCACAGTTTAATATAGTCAACTGATTTTTGACAAAGAAGCAAAGGCAATTCAATAGACAACATACAGACCTTTCAACAAATGGTACTTTAAGAACTGAACATTTACATAGAATAAATAAATAATTTAGATTCATAAGCGTTAACTAAAAGTGGATAACAGACCTAGATGTAAAATTCAGAAATTATTAAAGTCTTAGAAGATAATAGGTTATTACTACAGGTGTTTCTACAATGAAAAAGCTTCTTTGAAATCCTGAAATGAATAAAGAGGCTATTTGATAAGATTTAAATGAGGATAGAAGGTTATGACAAATTGTTAACTAATGATAAATAATCTTCGATACTAAAATAAAATATATTTAAATTTATTAAACATTAAATGCATTTGCATAAATTACCTGACTGGGAACCCAGCTGCTGCTGTCTTTGTAATTTATCCAAAGGGATGTCTGCCCAGTGGTCCACATTTTCCTGGCTCTGGGACATACATGAGACTTTGATAGGTGCTACATGTTCCCTTGCTCTATTGATTTGCTCCGATGAACTATATATAAAGTTTAGTAAACTTTGTGTATGCCTCCTTAGTAATACAATGAATGCGAATTAATAGAATTTAGCAGAAAGTGGTTTTGAGAATCAAAATTAAATAAATTTTAACTAAGCCATAAATAGCTAGAGCTAAAGTAAAAATGGATTATAAAAATGACTTAAATATCTCTGAATACTAATAACAAATACCTAAACTGTGAGTAGATCCTCTAATGAAGCTTAACCCCAAAATAAATAATTCATAAAATATAAATTTGGCCAGAGTATATGTAGAACCAGCTTAACGCTCAGAGGACATAGCAGTGCTGTGTTTGACTCTAGAGATGCCTTTTCACACTCCTGGGGTGATGACCCTCACCACTCTTCTCAGATGTGATGTGGAAATGTATGCTAATTAATCATTACTGTAGGTAAAAGACACTTACTTTCCACCTGCATCCTTTAGCAACAGGAAATGGAAAACTTGTTTTCATCTACTGGAAGCATTTGTGTGCATGTTCAACCATGTCCCACCATATACAAAATTCATTTTTTCCTTTCTCTTCTTTCAAGAAACCTTATGCAAGGTGACTGCACCAAATCCCAGCTTTACTTTTACATCACTTAGTAACTGTGCACCCATAAGAAAATGGTTCACTTCTTGTAGGCTATTTCTCATTGGAAGAATGTCAACAATAATTATACATACCCCCATAAAACTTTTGTCATCACTAAATGAGATTATGCATGTAAAATGGTTAGCCACATTTACCAGAGAGAATACTATATAAATGCTAGGTGTTTTTCTTGGTTTTGTTTTTTTATCATTTTGTCTCTTCTTTTCTCTCCTGCCAGTAGTTTCTAGAAGCATCTATTAAATGGTATTAGGGCAGTTACAAATACATATAAAAGTAATACTGATAGCTGATGCATGAAAAGATTATGCATAATAATTCCTTGAGTTTACAAATTCCTGGTCTACTCTAAAAATTAAGAATAGACATTACTTTAGAGACAGTCTACAATGACACTAAAATGTTTTAAATGTATACTTGCAAAATATACATTTAATGTAAAATAACATTTTGTTGATTAAATCATTTGACAACAAACTGATAAAGTAGATAATAAAAACATCTTGTATTTAAAAAATAATGCAAGAATTTTTGAATTTTTGCTTTTCTATTTCAGGTAAAATTCTTTTCTGTATTTGTAAAAGGAGCAATGTTTGATTTCTCATCTGCCATCAAACCAAAAAATGCTTATAATGAGTATTCTGGTTGTTAAATTTTTTAAAAACTATGATAGTTATGTCTAGATTCTATTTGGTATTTTTTTTCCTTCCAAGTTTTTTGTCCGGATATGCTTTCAATATTCACTTTCATGGCAACTAAAATGCAGTCACAGTGTTCCCAAGATGCTGTCAATGCAACTTGGTAGTAAATAACATTATAATATCAATGCACAACTAAGGAAGTGACATGATGTCAAGAATGCACTCAGTGTGGTTGTATCATAAATTCAGTGGAAAATGCATATTTATGGAGACCTTCTTAGGGTGTCAAAGGAGAGTAATGCAGATGTTATATTACTGAGAGAGAAGAAATCAAGGCAGAGAATCTTTGTTAAAGATGATGTAAATTCTATTGAGTGAAGGGAATTTCAAGTCATGGCAGTCAGATGCCTTTGAATTTTAAAATGCTATTATATTTTCCTTGACAACTCTGAGGACTAGCCTCATACCAGCTGCCAAAGCCTGATGTCTTGGGTCCTGAGAAGGTCAATGGTTATGGATTTTAGCCTCTTTTATTCTTGAATTGCTGATAGTGTTAGACATTTCTACCTTTATGAAGGAAATGAGGTACTTAGGCCACTATAATTTCAAGATGACCCACACCCCCTACCCACTGCCTGTGAAGATTCTTTTCCTTACACCTTTATCTGTATCAGAATGAGAACAAAATTGAGATCTTGAAACTACTCAAGCCCATTCTAGTTAGAGAAGAGAAAGATTTATCTATGAATACATAGCTAATGCTATATATTTTCCATCCCATTTTATTTCTTTTTTCCCATTTATGTGAATTGTTCTGTGTCCTGCTCTTGAGCTCAGGTTAATGAAGGAAATAGAAGGGGAAATGGGTTCTATTTCTAAATGCAGTCATTTTTCATTTATTTACTAGCAATTATATTTATCTCCTTGGCACTGATTATACAAATGTGAATGGGACCACATTCTGCCCTCACTGAATTGTAAAGTGTCTAGTAGGAGAGCCAAATATGTAGACTGATAGTTGCAAAGTGGCATGTGCTATGGCAGATCTGAGTATTATGAGCAAAGAGGGGATAGATTCTAAAGGTATTCAGGGATTCTCTTCTTTATTGACATTCACTTGTCAAAATTCTTTTAGTTAAAGGAACTTCTGTCACATAAAGGGGAATAGAACTTAATTGTACAAAGCTCATCTGATCTGTTAGAGCTAGGAGCTGGAGAGCAGAGCCATAAGGCCCTTAGACTCAGATCTAGACTGCATGGTTTCTCTTATCTTCACTATCTCTATATGCCTGCTTATTTCTCCTATTGACATCATGATATTGAAGTTTTCCTATGATATTGATATTCTCCTATTATTCTCCTATGACATCTTCCTCTGCTTTTTTCCTCTGTGTAAGACTTTATAATGAGTCATCCTATATTTTATATTATTATCATTCAATACCAGGGTCTACCACCGTCTGTGAGATTTCTTTGCATTTATCAGATGAAATCCCTCTTTCACAGAGAAAATAATTCTGATTCTTTCTATATCTTTTTTTCTTAGGGTCAAACCTTACGAGTCATATATCATTGGCTAGTCTCTATATTATTTCCACTGGAATCACAATTTAAATCATAAAGAAGTAGAATATGACAGTGACACCATAATTTCAGGTTTTCAGACCCAGTCTCCCAGCCAGGAATGGATCCCAGGGTTCAGTGGCAGCGCTGAGTCACAGCCACCATGATTGGTGTTGCAGGAAGCCGCAGAAGGAACTTCGTTGATGCTCGAGCAAGCAAGCATAAAGGGGTAAATGTGTTTAGAGAAAGAAAAAAAAATATTTTATTTTATTTCTTTCTTTCTTTTTTTTTAGATTTATTTATTTATTTATTTATTTATTTATTTATTTATACAAGCACTGGGTACAGTCAGAAGTGCGGGAGGGTGAGAGAATTCACCGAGCCAGAGCGGGGAGCAGAGCAGGCAGAAGGACTGAAGTACACTGCTGAGGGGAGCAGCGGGCGGCAGGAGAGGTCTGCGCGCCATGTGGGACCCACCTCTGGTGGCCGGGGAGCAGCCGGGGATCGAACCTGTGCTGCAGAGGCTGCAGGCAGCTTTGCAACCCAGCGCTCAACCGCTGTACCACCGGGGAGACCCGAGACAGAAAAAAAATATTAAGGAGAAAAAGAACAGAAATAAAGTGGGACTCCTAGGCTGGTGGAACAAGGCCAGGGAGGAGCAAGGAAGCAGAAGTGGAGTCATTCCTCAGGGAATATACACCTTCTTTCCCTAATTATTCTAAAGATCCATCAGATCATTTGCCATCATTTGTTTTCTTTGGTGATGGTTTTGTTCATGTCTTTACTATACTTTTTAATTGAGCTTTCTGTTCTCTTACTGTTGTTCTTTGACTATCCATTATATATACTGGAAAAGAGTTATTTGTCAAATATATTCTCTCAGTCTGAAGCTCATAAAGCTGGCAGATTCTGACAAAGAAGAATGTTTTTAATTGTACTGAGATTGATTGAACCTCTTTTACACAGCTTATATTATAAACTGATGATACAATTGATGATTATTCTATGAGGAAAAAAAATAAATCCAAGCAAAAAACAAATAGACATACAGAATAATTTCATGTAGTATTCATATTTTTCTGAAAACTACAGGATATTTTGGATATTTTTCTTTGAACATAATCCTGACTTAAAGTTGCCAAGTTTTTTCAGAACTGGTTTCTAAATATCATATCAATGATCCTATATCATAGTAAATGTGCCAAATTGTTGAAGAGATTGCATTACATTTTGTGGAAAACTTTTCAATCTGTTATCCACATGTTTTCATTTGGCATATGATTAGTAAAAATCTCTTACTCCTGAGGCAAGGGTTACACTAAAACTGGAAAACGGTCCCCCTAAGCTAATATAGAAATGAAAGTACTAACTAGAACTCCTTTGTCTTAAGGAAAGTCTCAGCCCTCTTCTGTGTTGTTCCCAAGTAACCAGAAGGAAAGAACGAATCAACAGTGTGATTCCTAATGGATAAAAGCAGTCTGAACTTATAGAAGACATAACAAAAGCACCATGTTGTGGACTTATAAAATCTGATAAGCTGCATGGTGAGATATCCCGGATAAATTTTGAATAATTTCTTATCTTCTTATGGAATTAATATATATCAATTTTATTCTGTCTCAGAGGAATATTCTGAAAAGACAATACTTCAAATTTAAATGATTAAAATAAACTAACTTTTGAATTGGTTGTTAATCATTAAATTTCTTTGAATCAGTTACATCATGTGTTTCCTCATGCACATAATTGTTAAATAATAATAAATTTGTCATAGTTTTATTACGATGAGTAAATGAGTGGCTAGATGTGTTAACTAAAATAATCTTCACTGTAAAACAAATTTAAAGTTTAATAAAGGAGAAATTCATTAAAGAGGTTATTCAGAGCCAAACTAAGGACCTAGGCCAGGGAGACTAACATCAGTTTTTTCTGAGTGATCGGCCCTCTCCCTTGAAATTTTGCCCTCAGTTTATATAGGTAAATTATAAACACAAGAATACAAACTATTTTTTTTTGTATTTTCAAAGTAAAGAATACATCTAATGTCTAATATTTAGCTAAAGGTGGTTGGTTTCTCATAATTTTAGGTAATTTAGGTAAGCACTGTTCAGAAACAACTCTAAAACTATCCCTTGATCCTACAGAGTTAATTTAGTCAGAGTTATCTGTGTTTTGGAAGATGTAACAACCAAAGGTCATTTGAATCTCTCATCTTAAATGTACTCCTGCAGATGTGAGAATTTATCTCCTGCTGTTTCTTTTTGCAACTGCTAAACATTGCACAGGCAGGCTCAGACCAATGGACTCTCCTAACATTTCCTTAACCTTTTACCACAGGGTTCATACAGCAGACTTCCCTTGTCTTTATTGGCTTCTCCAGTCTGAGGCAGCCCTGTTAAGTCAGTTAGACATTTCCAACAGAGTGAAATGTAGAATTTTTTATTTATTTATTTATTTTTTATTTTGGGCCACGGATGTAAAATCTTAATATTGTTCCTCACACATGACAAGCCACACAGCCAATGATTATTATCATCATAAATTTGTATAATGTTATAGTTTCTTTACATAATGAATTATCAGTAGTTTTTGGTATATGTGAGGGAGTATTCTAGCTACATATTTTTTGAGAAACTTGGATTCCCACAGAGAGTCTCAAACACACTGTAATATTAATGTGGTTAGATAAAAAAACTACAAAAAGTACATTATCTTAATTCATCATCAGGCTGTATGACCTATAGACAGACACACAAACAGACACAAGGAGTAGTCATAGAATCACACAGAATTTTCATTTCATTCAAACATTATGTGGACAAGCAGTTAAACCTCATTTAGAAATCAGCAATTAGTATGTGGCAGTTTGCCAATTTTAAGCCTCTTCTTTTATAATTAAGCTAATATAATCACATGCACATAGCTAGAAGGAGGCCTCAGGATATTCTGGAACAAGGAGATAATGTCATCGCTGTTTGTTAGGGTTAAATTGTGAACTCTACTTAGAGTGTCACATGGAACTTCTCCAGGCATTTGATAAACTCATTCTGTCCAAGGAGTTAATCGTTTAATATTACCTCCAGGTGTATTTTTTCTCCATTAGAATTTACTAAGGTACAATTTACATAAAATAAAATGCATGGCTTTTGTACATACAGCTGACTAAGTTTTAATACACTACATAACCTCTAAAGTCAAGATATTAAACATTTCCACCATTCTCAGAGTCCTTGTGTGCCCCTTTTATGTCACGTTCCTTCACCAGCAGACCCAAACAACCACTGTCTACTTTCTGTAACTGTTAGGTTTACCTGTTCTAAAATTGCATATAAATGAAATTAAGCAGTTTTTGATAACTTTTACAATATAAATCTTCACAAAAAACTTCACTGCATTTTGAGATTCACCTGTTATTTTGTACATTGATATTCCATTGTCAGGTTGTTTTACAGTATCCTTTTGTATAAAAAAAAAATCACAATTAGTTTATACTTAACTTCTTTTGAATTTTAGTTTCTTTCAATTTGGGGCAATTTTGAATAAAGCTGCTATGCATATTCATTTTCAAGTCTGACTGGTGCTGCCACTGCCATTTTTAAAAAGTGAGAATTTTAACAGAATACAGAAGACATTTTGGTAAAACTGGGGCTACCATCTAGGCAGTGCCTATTACTCCATATGTACTGTGCTTTAGCCACTTATTTCAAATGTCAGCTGCTAATTTTGAAAATGAAAATAAAAAGAACTATTTGATTTGTTTTTTCTTGTCAGAGAGCCTATATAAATAATCTTGCACAATATGCATAGATTTTACAGGCTACAGACACTAGAAAAATCATTTCAATTTTATGTTTTAAAATGTTTGGAAAAATCTTTATTGCTACATAAAGATCTTACTAAGAATATCTAGTTAAACAGTTTGATTTTGGTTGCGCACAATAATAAAAAGACAAGTTTATCAGATTCTCCTTTCATTTGGCAATATATAAAATAGATTTTCTAAGTTTTGGTAAAATTGGGCTATAAGAATGGCTTTTTAAAATCATGACATAGTTTTGTATGCTAAAATTTTTCAGTCTGATCTATTTTAAATATCAATTTCACATCTAATCCTGTATATCCCTCAATTTCCCCTTTAGTTTGGGGTAAAAAGTATCAGCAGAAAGGGGTAAAAGTCTTAAATTTTGTAAGAAAATTATTTCCCCATGATACTGAAAAAAGAAACAACTCTCAGTAGTGTAAGCTTCTTCACTAGACTAGTCAGGACAATTTGTTTTTAAGATAACTTCTAAGGCAATTTTTCATCTACTGAACCAGCATAGTGCCTGTGAACATAGTGGCCACAAAATTTGTGCTTACCGCGTGAAAGAGTGAATAAATAAATTTTATTTACATAAATCTGTGATTTTTTTTTCTAGTTTTCCGTTACGGCGTATTAGTAATTCACTCTAAATACATGAATAAAAAATAAAACTATAATTGGTATTTTCTTGACAGTGTGTCAAGAATGTATAAACAATCCAAGTCCACTCCTGATCAAATTTTCATATCCAATATGTGATATTTAGAACAATGTATTTAGCTTTTACACTAATATATACTAGTAGGAAATTGTGTGTGGGATGTGTGTGTGATTATATACATGAATGAATGCCAATTTTTATTCATTCCCAAACGTATTTTTCTCTAGCTATGGTGTTATTTATTATAAGTAGAATCTTAGAAATCTTTATTAAATGAAAATGAATTGTGACCTTTGTTTTTCGCTCTCCTATGAGTGCTTCTAAACCAGTGCCATTTACTTTCACTTTGCTAGATGTGTATGCTCTATCATTGTTTCCTGACACCTAAAGGATTATTTCTAGAAATTAGGCCCCAATGGAGAAATAGATACATGATATTTCCAGAAAGAAGTCCTCTGTGACCTACACAATTTAGTACCATGTTAGGATTTATAACAACTTTGTGGAGAAGAACCAATAATGTTAACTTGATTCTGATAATAACAACTTTGTTTTGATGAAGAAAATTCGCTTATTGTTGTCCTAAAAGGATAACATTAGACAAGCTTTTACTCCAGGGTATATAAAGGAGTCATTCTAAGCATTAAAGTCAGAAACAAATTCATTGATCCTGAAAGTTGGCCCAAGGCATCTTCTAAAAACTATCATAAATCCCATTTGTGTTTATTTTTATAGTTCATCTTGGCAGAATTTTTCTAAAAGACAAAATAAAATGTGATTGACGTTCAATCCAGTTGTCAACTCATGAGCTTACGGCTAGAATGCCTTTAACCTTGAGAAGTGAGCCATTTTTGCACTTGTGTGAGTCCAGAGAGTTTATAACTCTTTCTTCTGCCTTCTCCAGGAATTTAGTCTTGTTTTAGGGAGTTGAATCTTGCTTAGTCTATGTCTAAGGTTGTTTGTCTGAGCTCCGGTTCTACACATGTCTCATGTGTAAAGATGCCTATCTCAAAATTTCTGGCATAATCAGCTCTTCAGGTGTTCTACTGAGGACTTTTAATTCTTGCCATTATCAGCAACCCTCATTGTAAACACTCTTTCATGATCTTAAGCATTTTCCTATGTTAGAAGCTTTATATTTCATATCATATTTTAGAGGGACTTTAATGGATATTTCCATATCAACTTATAAATAATTAAGAATGACTCACTATCCCATTCCAACCTCAGACATGAATCATTATAGCCTATCTAGACAGGTATCTCATACCAGGAACAGATGGCTTACTGATTTAAAGACTGGTCTCTGGGGGAGGAATTATATTTTCATGTCTAAAAACACAGCATTTTGGGAATTCTGTGATGTTTTAGGTTAATATTTCTTCCCAGGAGATGATATAGGCTGTCACCAAAGTGATTATTTGAAGAATTAAGAAAGACATATGCTATCATATTTTATAAAGGAGGTGAGATAAAGTGGGGTCAAGGGCAGGGACGAATTTATCTTATTAAATAAAACAAACATCAAAGTGAAAAAAAGTAATACATTTTATTTAACTTGTGGAAGGACATGTTGACAATAGAATGAGAGTCTTGAGATGGATGCTAATTTGTATGGGAAATTAATATAAAATAGTTGTACACTTTGGAAATAGAAGGAGTACAGTTTTTCAAATAATGATATTGAGAAAAAAATGGAAAAATATTGGGCCTCCCTGATGGTGCAAGGGGTTGAGGCGCAGCCTATGAGGCTGTCTGTGTCCTCTGAAGCATGAGATTGATCCCTGGCTGGGGAGCTACCCGCATGGCACAGCAGACCTTTTCTGGCTCGCCTGCTGCTCCCTTTAGCAGTGTATTTCAGTCAGTCTGCCTGTTCTGTTCCTCGCTCTGTCTCTGGTGAGGTACAGTGCCTCTGGCCTATACCCCAGTTCTTGTATGCATGAATAAATATTTTTTAAAAATAGGAAAATATGCAGAATCATACCTCTCACAAAATGGTTTATTTAAAAAAAATCAAGAAAATTAAAGCATAGCTATATGAACTAACAGACAATAGTGTTGATGAGTATTAGTTTGTGGACAAGTATTT